TTCTGGTTGTATATTTAACAGAGGTGGAGAACAAGAAGCCTCATTCCTGCCTTTCTCATACCCTTACCTAAGTCTAACTTTTACAAGATCTCTTTCAGTCACCAGAATGTGCTGACACAGGAAGATGGCATCATTACATGGAGGACAAACCATCTTTTTTTTTCTCTTTTTCAGCAATGGTGATGAATTGACATTCCTGTGTCACTTGTGGGTTCACACTCCTGTGTTGTATGTGAAAAGGAGCTGTTTAGATGAGACATTTTGGAGCAAGTATTTGGTTCTGAGATCTTTTTAGATTTAGGTTTCCTCATAATAGAAAAGACGGAAAGGAATATAGATTAACAGATTTCCACCACTAATACTCTCCTCACTGCCAAGTAAGGGCCACAGATCTGGGAGGTGTCAAACCGACTTTGTGGGCTTGTTCACCAAACAATACAACTGTTGGACTGAGGGCCATTCCCAAGTAATGTCACATGGGCTTTCCTCATAAGCTACTTACTTCATCAAAGCCAGATAGATGTCAAACTCCTTGCCTCCTATTGATGGAAGCAAGTCACTAAGCTGGCCCATATTCATGAAGAAGGGCTCACACTTTTCATGGATGCTGGGAGGCAGAGGTATGTGGCTACCACCTTAAGAAAGTCCTTAACACAAAAATCACCTCTCTTTTTTTCATAGAGACAGCGTTTTTAACTCCAAGCTCTCCTAACATAAAGGTTAATTTATTTATCAAAAGTAAAAGTTGACAACTAAATGCAAGACAGGATCCTGAACAGAGATTAGAGCAAAATTTGATGCTGGCCCTTAGTTTAGTATTATGCTCATGTTAATTTCCTGGTTCTCTATTATAATTATATAAGGGATTACTTTGGGGAATACTGGATGAAAGATATGTGAAAATTGATTTGTACTATTACCATAACTTCTTGGTAAATATGAAGGTAGTTTAAATTAATAATTAGAAAAATGTGATTCTTAATCAAAAAATCTCCTGGCCATGTAAATTTAATTTATGGTTGCAGATTATTCAAAAATTTTGTTATGTCTTTTTAGAACTAGATTGAAGGTGCATCTTAATTTTTTGGAGAAAAATTCTCTAACAAATTTAGGAAAAATGTTATATAATTTATTTTAGTATATCTTTCTTAGTGAAAACATCTTTAGACCATCATCATATAGTAGCATTATTTGTATATTTGCAATATTTCCACAAATGATATAGTGCTGACGGATGAGCTTTCTGCTTTAACTAGAGTTGAAATATGCCAGGGATTTATTTTTTCCACACCAGTGTCCTTCACACATCAATTTAGAAGAATCATTTCTAAAATGGTAATTCTGATAGCTGAAGTGGCTCCTCCCCCATGCTGACCGCTGTTTTTCAGTTGTCAGTGTACTTGTTGCTTGGATATAGGCGCTTATATTCCAAAATAGTGTGGCCTATCTCACCACACTGCTCCTTGTGATGAAAGAAGAATATTTCATCCCTCAAGAGGCAGTTGAATCTCACACGAAGCAAGAACAAATAGCTTCTCATTTTGCTTACTACTTGAAAGGACTGCTGTCTATTAATGGTTTATCACTATTTTACATGTCTATCAAATTAAGGCTTATGAATTGTGGCTGGTTCCATCTCTTAAGAGAGCTATTTGGAAATACTCTAGATATTTTTCTCAGAATCTATTTTTAGAATAGAGGGCCTAATGGTATTTTAATGTCTCTATGTATTCCCAGGACAAATCTTGAGGGAAAAAAGTCTGTTACTTCTTGATATCTATCAAAGTTGGTGGGATTATGAGTGTCCCTCTGAGAAATAATGCATTCACGAATGAACTTTGATTTACAGACTGATCATAGCAAAGGACCATGACAAATGGTGCAAACTCCAGCTCTTCTCAACGCCTCACTTTTCACATGATAAAACTAAATCTTGTCATGGGTAAACTGTTGGCCCAGGATCTGACACTGGAGGAGTGATCATGTGAAAAGTTGTTGGGTGGTTGACTTAGAAAAGTGACCATTGCAAGAGTCAATGACGATGAGTCAGTTTCTGGGTTAAAGACTTAACTTGAATGAAAGAGGTGACATTGATCGAGATATCATTGTATTGATAAACAGACATGTTGAATTGAAGTCCCTTTGTATAACTAGAGATAATAAATGAATATTTCACTTTAGAAGACAAAAAACAGTCTTCTAGCAATCTGTATGAAACCTGTCATTGGCATGAGAGTTTGTATAGAAAAAAAAATGCAGAAGAATCAGAAAATAGTCTCAGAAGTGAGGATAGGCCCAGGAATCACTTTGGAGTTGCTTCTCCTTCTTCAAGAGTAGTCCGCATTGTAGCTACCATTCCCACTTTAAATATCACAGTCAGTGAAGTGGTACCCAACATTTCATTGATTCCTTTGTCCCAGCAAGCAGGCTCTTTTAATGAAGCAAACCTCTCGTAAAGGTTTTAGTGTCCATCTATTATTATGCATTTCTATTCTGTCCATCCTCTCTCTCTCTCTCTCTCTCTCTCTCTCTCTCTCACTTAATTTGAAGGCCCAGTAAGACTTACTAAAATTAGGAGTACATATTTGATTGTAGAAATGGAAATATGTATTTTGTGCACTTTCTTACAGTTGTTTTTCTGGGTGGACTGATGGAGTTGTAGTGTCAGAATAATATCCAGACATTGAGACCCAGTGTCAGGGATAGGGCAGAGAGACACCAAAGACAAGTTTGGCTTGTTTTATAGCTTTACTATGGGTTGTCTTAGGGCTAGAGTATAAGAGAGTAGCAGTACCTTTAGCCATTTTTGTGCGTGTGCTACTTAGCCTCTTCGACAAATACTACGGAAGTTGTGGGTTAACTGCCAGGCTTTTGTAGAATGAAGGGCAATTCAAATCACCTGGTATATGGTTGAAGAATAGGAAAGGATGTATCAAGATTAGCTTGAAACTAATCTTGGTGGTACTTCTATTCATGAAGTAAGAACTTAACAATAGTGCAGTAGGGAATTGAATGGGTTCTTGGGTATGTCTGCATGAATTCCGAGCCTGGATCTGATACTCACTACTGCAGTGAGCTTAAACAAGACTTATTTTTACCATACTTCGATTTGTTATTTGTGTATTAGGGATAATAGTGGCAAAAAATCCCCCAATCATAAAGGTTTTTTTTAGATACAAATAATACACATAACACACAAGTGTCTACCAAAGTATAAGCAATTGTGTAGAAATCTGTACTTATGTACTATAATTTTATTTGATAAAATATAGCCTAATTTCTGTGGAATAAGATTGAGAAAAGGAAATATTTAAGAACAATGCTATTTAAATAATATCTCTTCTATGTATATCTATTTTCTAAGTGGCAATCAGATATCTTTTTATACCAAGATATCTGCCTGGACCAACTCATATGTACCATGGGTCATATTCATTGTCAAATTTAGTCACATTAATTTATGTAATTATATGACTATAGGATTCTAAAAGTTATTTCATTTTAATGTGACTTTCTGAAAGTGAAAACCAGAATGTATTTGTTATCAGAATGTAATTGTTCTGTACCCTTTTTCTACATGTGTGTGTGTGTGTGTGTGTGTGTGTGTGTGTGTGTGTTTGTAAACATTCTCCTCTAGACTCTTCTAGAGAACCTGTAAGTTCTGTTTTATCTTTCTGGATGGTATATCTTTTTTTATTTCTATATCTGCAGCATAGTATTCTGTAGGCTCTATGAGCTTGTTTGATCAAGGGGTTTGTAAAGCTCAATTACTAGTCCTCATCTGAGAAAAACTGATGTGAGAGAGTAGATGGAGCATGGTGTCTGTTTCCATGGTTACCATTACGAAGGTAAAAGTAGGAGCTGTGTGACCTTTGGCTTTGAGTACAGGCTAGAATCAACCTGGGCCTGTGCTTGTAAATGAGTTTTTTTTTTTTTTTTTCGTCGTGGGGCCTCTGGGCGCTGTCCTTCAGCTCTTCAGCACAAGGCTAGAGCCCTACCACTTGAGCCACAGCACCACTTCTGACTTTTTCTGCTTATTTGGTGCTGAGGAATCGAACCCAGGGCCTCATGCATGCAAAGTAACTTATTTATGAGGTGTTATTTAAGGTTTCTTACAGGTTTACTATTGTATGATTTCATGATATCTTACCCAGCTTACATTTGGGAAGTGTATGCTTTGATGGATATGTATATTTTCTCTCCCAGTTTCCTTAAAATTCACATAAATGCCTTTGGTAGATAACCAGCAAGGGTAAAAGATGCAAGTTGTGTCTGTGAGGTAGAAGAAGCCACCTGGATCTGGAAGGAAACAATTTGATGGCCTTGGCATTGTTAGCATCCAAATTTCTATGCACAAAGCTGTGGGTCACCTGGGAGTGTTTGATTGCATGCTAGGCAAGATCCAGAGCCATCACTGATCTTAATATTCACACACATTGTTGAGTTCTTCTACTGTGCACAAGATAAAACAGAAACCTCAAAAGATAAATAACTGTACAAGTTCTTCTAAATTGTTACTTGTCTGTACAATGCTTTTTTTTGCAGAGAGGTTAGGAGCAACCATCTCTCTGTCTACTTGGCAGAGATATTTTGAATTTCTGAAAGAAGAGAGAATGTAAAAATTGAGATTAGCCAACTGTATGAGCTTTGTCATTTGGATGCCTTTGCAATCTGGAGGCTTTCCTTTCCTCCTTTTCCCCTTTTGTTGGCAAAATAGAATTAGTTTGGGTGAACCAGTATATTTAAGGAATTTAAGGAAATTAAGAAATAATCGTTTGGAATAAAGGTTTCTGCCTTATGGAAGTAGCTTATTTCCTCCAAAATCCACATAATAAGATGGCTGAGATTATTTGCCTATGGCTGAATACAGAAATCTAACTTTTTGTCTATGGGAAATACAAGGTAAGATACTATAGCACTGGCAGCGAACTTTAGTATCACTGTCATTTGAGAAGTTGTGCTATAAACACATTAATTTTCACCTTTTCCTTTTCTTCTAGGCATGGGCTTCTGCCCTGTCGCTCTTTCTGTGAGGCTGCCAAAGAAGGCTGTGAATCTGTGCTTGGGATGGTGAACTCTTCCTGGCCCAGTTTGCTCAAATGTTCCCAGTTCAGAAACCTCACTGAAAGCAGCAATGGCAGCAGGGTTTGCTTCTCTCCACAGCAGGACAATGGAAAGCAAAGTAGGTGTCTGTGTTTTGCCTCATTTCATAGTTTCTTATCAAAATATAGCATTCATATACACACATATTTGCATGCAAACAGCAAATGTACAGTCCAGCTTTAACAAAGCACCAAAGCACAAATGAAGAGACAGGATATTAACAACTTACGAAATGTCCTCAAGCCTCCTCCTAGTCATATCTCACTCTCCCCCAAGAAATCTCTGTACTGATTTTTAACACATTAGCTACCTTTGCCTATTTCTGAACTTCATACAAATGGAATCATAATCTATGACCATTTTATATCTGGGTTTGTTTGTGTAACATCGTGTTTGAGAAATTCATTCTGTTTCTGTTTTGTGATTTATTCATCTCATTGTGATTTAATATTCTAAGATTTGATTATTCCACACTTTCTATATGTGGTCTGCTGTTATAGTGAGTTGTTTCCATTTTCTACATTATGAATAGGGATGACTAACATTAATACTTTTGGACAGATCTTAGGCTGACCACAGTTACATATTTGTATAGCAAAGTAGTTTTCTAAAATAGTTGTACTAATGTTTACTTTTAATAGTGATGTGTGAAAGGTGTGATTGTTTCAAATACTATCCAAACTTTGGTATTGCCAATCATCTTAGCAATTCTAATGGGAGTAATGTGAGATCTCTTTGTGGTTTTATGCTTTCCTGATGAAATCTGACGCCATTTAAAAATCGGACTATCCCTTTATATGTCTGTACAGACATTTTGCTCAGTTTTGGTGGCTTTTTTCTTATCAACTTCTAGCTTTGCTTGCATTCTGGATATGTTTTGTTATGGCTTTGATCTTAAGTGTCTTCCAAAAGGCCAGTTGCCAGTGGCTCTGTCTGTAATCCTACCTACTCCAAAAGCTGAGATATGAGGATCACAATTCGAAGCCAGCCTGGACAGGAAAGTTTGTGAGACTCTTATCTTCCTTCACTTAACCATCAGAAAGCTGGATGTGGTATAGTTGAAGTTGTAGAACACCAGCCTTTATTTCAAAAGCTAAGGAACAGTTAGTTCCCAGGCCCTAGGTTCAATCCCATTTGTGATAAAGAGTTAATCTGTGGCAATAGAATGCAAACAATAACCAAAAGACCAGGAATGGCTACATTAGGTCCAATAGATTTTAAACAAAAAACTGCTGTTAGAGAAGGAAGATATTCTTAATCATAAAATACCAATTCATGGTTTTGGGATGTAGCTCAGTGGTCGTGAAGTCCGTGGGTTCAATCCTTGGCACCAAGTCAAAGTCAATTCATAAAGAAATGTATTTTTTTAAAAAAAACAACAGATCCTATAAACATAAAATTGGAGAAAAACTGAAATGGAAATTAGAAAACTCAGCAATTGTACTCCACTTTCAATAATGAATAGATTAGCTAGATAAGGGACTCGTAAGCACTACATGTCAATTTTTTCTAACAGGTATCTGTAGAATATTTCATCCAACAATAACAGAATCTATGTAAACATGCACATATGTAACAGTTTTGTTTCAAATTTTGTTGAAAATTTGAATATAAAGAATGTTTGTGTTTTTTGGGGGGGTCCGGTTGTGGGGCCTGAACTCTGGGTCTGGGCACTGTCCCTCAGCTCTTCAGCTCAAGGCTAGCACTCTACCACTTGAGCCACAGAACCACTTCTGGCTTTTTTCTTTTTGCTTATGTGGTGCTGAGGAATCAAACCCAGAGCCTCATGCATGCAAGGCAAGCACTCTACTGCTGAGCCACCTTCCAAGCCCCTAGATAATATCTAGTTGAATTATATGTTTTATACATTTGACAAAGAATATTGTAACTTTTTAATTCATTTACACTTATTTTATAAGAATTTACATGTGCCATTTTGCTACTTTTTAAAAAAAACCTAATCCTTCATCTTCTATTATTATCTTCTTTTGTGTTACATAGATTCTAATTAACCATTTCAATTTCTTATTTTTTATTTAATCATTGTATTGTTTTCCCTGAGATTTACAACTAATGTCTTAGTTATAATGACCTATTTCAGATGGATACATATAGCACTACATATAACACTACATATAACACTCTCCAAACTTTGTTTCTATGTAACTTGTGTATTAATTTTTGCCCCTTCCTACATTTTGTGATTACATTATGTCTTTATACATTAAAAACCAACATAGTATTAGACATTGAATTTTTGGTAGTTTCCTATTACATTGACTAAGATAATGAAATATAGACAGGCAAAGTTAGATTTATTTTGTTTTTTTTACATTATTTGTTATTAATTATTTAATCAATTGTTACTTTTAGATTTTCTCTCCTGGTAGTTTTTATTTTTTCATGTGGATTCATATACTTGTTTACAGTCTTTTCATTTCATCCCAAAGGACTTTTTCAGTATTCCAGATTTTTTAAAGTGTAAGATGATTCTGCTAGTGAGAAATGATCTAAGATATTATTTTTATTTTTATTTTTGCCAATTGTGGGGCCTGAACTGGGCGCTGTCCCTCAGCTCTTCACCTCAAGGCTAGCACTCTACCACTTGAGCCACAGCACCACTTCTGACTTTTTCTGCTTGTGTGGTGCTAAGGAATTGAACCCAGGGCCTCATGCATGCAAGGCAAGCGCTCTACCACTGAGCCACCTTCCCAGCCTGATCTAAGGGTTTATGCATCATTTGTCCTTCATTTTTGAAAGGACTGCATTGAGGGCTGTCAGGCTTCTTCTCATCACTTTGACTATGTCATCCATCCTTTTGTGAAGCTCATGAATTCTGATAAGAAGTCAGTGGCTAATTATATTGAGGCTCTGATTTTGCTTGATGAGTTGCTTGTCTCCTGGTATTTTCCAGATTCCTTCTGTTTTAACTGTGTGTGTGTGAGAGAGAGAGAGACAGAGAGAGAGAGAGAGAGAGAGAGAGAGAGAGAGAGAGAGAGAGGAGAGAGAGATGAAGAAATGCAGAGAGAGATTTTTACTGTATAGCTAGGGTTATAACACTTCTGGACCAGCTTTCCAACTACTGGGATTGCCTGCATTTGTCACCAGCTCTTGCTTTTGTTATATTGATTTTTTTGGTTCTATTTCAAATTAATGTTTTTAACCAAGTTCAAGAAAGTTTTGGCTATTATGTCTTCTAATATTCTTTCTGACCAGTTCTTCCTTTCATCTGTTTCTGGAATTCCTGTTGTGTGAATGTTAATACATCTTTCAAGGACTATTTTCCTCATTCTTTTTTCTTCTCAGTCTGTAAAGTAGCTCATCTAAATTTACTTAGTTTCTTTTACTTCTCTGATTCTCCTGCCTGCTCAAATCTGCTGTGAACCTTTCTAGTGAATTTTCTATCTTAGAGATTCCCATTTTTCTTCAAGAACCTCTTTCTTTTCCCCCTTAAATCTACATATACCTGTTTATTTATTCATGTTTCCTTTGAGTGCCCTCCAAATGGGTTTGTTTAGTTCCTGAGTGTGTTTTAAATAATGAATTTAAAATCTTTGTCTTCTGGGCCCACAATATGTGTTTCTTCAGGGACAGTTTCTGTTGTCTCTAGCTATCTAAATAATATAATGTATACATCTGGGAACTGGATTTTCCCTCTCTGGGATTTGCCATTGTTACCAGTTCTTATTTTTTCTATTGTTGCTAGTTTTTGTTTAGTGAATTTCCTGAATTAATTTTGTTGTACGTTCTTTGTCGTGTTCAACTAATGAAGTATTTACCCAGACAGTCAGCTAATGGTTGGACAGAAAATTCTTTTAAATGGTTTGAACCAGTATATGTCAAGAGATCACTCCTGATGGTACCGGGACACAGTTTCAATGGCACAGCAAGCACTTTACGCTTCTGTGTTATCCTTAATTCCTGCATATCAGGGCTTAGCCAAAGAAAAGACATCACAGCCTTCACAAATCACAGAGTTTTGCACATTCATGTAGACATCTATATTTCTAGAAATATAGTAGAAATGTTTTTAACTCAAATTCATTTCAGAGATTTCCTTTTCTTTTCTACATTGTCTTCAGCTTTTGTTTTTTTAACCACAAATGGTATCCCTCTATCTGACAGTTGTGATGTTGAACAGTTCTCACTATTTTTTTAAACACCTTGGAGAAAAAGCTGATGAAAGGAGAGGAAAATTGGACAAATTCAGATGTGGCATCCACCTTTGGTGATCATAATATTAATTTGTATCCATCACATGCAATGGTAGTGACAACCACAGTGCTTTTGTAACCAGCCGTCTTTTCTCCAGGAACAGTTTGCAGTCTCTCTCTCTCTCTCTCTCTCTCTCTCTCTCTCTCTCTCTATATATATATATATATTAGAAAGGCAAGAGTTATTGCTACTAACATCTCATTAGTAGAGGCCAGGAGACTGTTAAACACCCTCAATGTACAATAATACAATCATGGGGTTCAAAAGTGTTAACGTTGCTGCTTTTAAGAAACCCTGACCTAGCCATGCACTGGTGGCTCACGCCTGTAATCCTAGCTACTCAGGAGGCTGAGATCTGAGGATTGCGGTTCAAAGCCAGCCCGGGCAGCAAAAATCCATGAGACTCTTATCTCTAGTAAACCACCAGAAAACCAGAAGCAGCACTGTGGCTTAAGCGGTAGAGCGCTCACCTTGAGCTGAAACACTGAGGGACAGCGCCCAAGCCCAGAGTTCAAGCACAATGACCAACAACAAAAAAGAAAGAAACAAACAACAAACAAAGAAGCAAAGAGAGAGAGAAAGAAAGAAAAAAGAAAATAAAGAAACCCTGACCTAGCCCTTAATGCTTTATAAAGTTCTTTCGCCATATTGTCATCATGATCATCATAGTGATCATCATCGTCGTATGCTTCTTTGAAGGAGTGCCAAGCCTAGTGGGTTACAAACATATGTAAGAAAAGCAGAGGAACAGACATGACTTCATGTAAATATATTTCTATATAGCAGTGAAAAAGACAGAAGTTAAATGTCAATAGAGTAGTATAATCAGTGACATAGAGTGTGATGAATATTTTATTAGGGGAA